AAAGGATCTCGCTAAGTTGCTGAGGCTAGTTTTGAACTTGTGATCCTCCTGCCTCAGCCTCCCGAGTCGCTGGAATTACATGCGCCACCACGTCTGGCTTCTTTCTTCTTAATTACATTTACAAATTACTTTCAAGTTAAATATGATCGCACAATCAAACCTAATGAATGTTCTCGACTAAACAAAATCTCTCGTTCATGTCTAGTAACATATTTCTAACSTAGAACTACAAGCCTGGCTTAGTTGACTGATATTTAAAACCCATAACTTTAYTTCTGGATACCAAATAAATATGAGAAATTTGAGACAGTCTCTAAGGAGACTGGCAWTCGTTCCCGGCATTCTCAAATCATATCCCACACTCCCTTTCTGCCCTCCCAGTTCTCGGTTTTTATCCTAAAATCTCGCGAGAGGTCGAGTTTTCATGAATTCTCCCAGAAGCCACCGCTCTTCCTCTTCCTGTAAGCGCCCTGAGGTGAGTGCTTCTCTGGAGTGTGGGTACGAGTGTTCAATCCTCCGGTCATCACCGCCATCCTGGCCTCTGGAGTGCGGGTGTCAAGGACCCCGGGAGGAAAACTCCCAGGGCTACGATTTCTTGCTGGAAGCGATGTTTCTCTGTGCAAGGAGACGTGGCAGAGTGCCCGACTTGATGCTCCCGGGCCGGCAGGCCTCTGTGAGCTGCAGAGGAACGTGATGGATGGGGACGGGGGAGGGAGAAGCTCGTCGGCTGGTGGGGGTAMGGGCAGCTGCCCTCCGTGTCTACTCCGACTGTGGAGGTCCAGTGTCCCGCGATGAGTGGTAGCCAGTACGCGGAGCATTTGTGGCCGCAATGCGAGAAAGTTTTGAGGGAATAAAGGCAGATTGAAACCAAACCCTTCTCAGTTAAGTGCTGCAAATTGGATGGCTCCTACCTAACGTGCATGATAGTGTAAAGTCTGTAGTGTGGGAAGCTATTCCTGTGAAGCTGTGTGAGTGAAGGGGTTTCTGTAAAGAGGGAGGGAGGGCGGAAAGGATCGGAGTTGGTTTTTGCTATGTCAGATGCCATGCATTGGCGGCATCTTAGGTCTAAAAGACCCACGTTTAGATCAAAACTGACTGTTTTCTTCTAAAGGGGAAGGGAGAGGGTTGATTGGAGGTCCAAATCACTATTCGTGTAATCAGCGCCGTAGTGGCTGGTTGATGCAGAGGGAAGAGAAGAAAGGACAGGGTGGAGGGAAAGGACGGCTGCGATGATGGCATATCTTAGGACACCTTTGGATTAATCATGAAAACAACTATTCTCTGAGCAGCTTTTAATATCACTTAACACTTTGTTATTTAAAGTTCACCAGTTACCCTTAAGTATCTATTACTGACAAGTATGGGGTGCTCCCTTCCAGGTGATCTATGAAAATGGTCCGGTACTCTCTTGACCCGGAGAACCCCACAAAATGTAAGTGAATAGGACATAGATCTATAATTTCTACTTTGGGGTGAGCATAAAGGTATAGCCAGAAATTAACAAATTTTTTTATATTCTAGCATGCAAATCAAGAGGCTCAAATCTTCGTGTTCACTTTAAGGTATGAGACTCCTAATGCAATCTAAGTTTTCCACATGTTCTAGTGTTGCTCATCTTTAAAGGAAGCTGCAGTGATGCCTTTCTTAGGACACCTTTGGATTTACCATGAAAACTAATACATTCTGAGCAGCCACCTTTTACTTGTATATTGATTATCATTGTATAATGAGCAATTTGACTCAGGATTTCTGAAATCGAATAAAAGTACCAGAAAATCCTTGAGAAAGTAGTTGGATGTTAGAATTTAAAGATTTTACAGTGGATAAATTGAGGATTAGGATTAATTTTCCCTAGTTCCAAACAAAGTTTCCCAGGCTTTTAGTCACAATTATCATGTATGACAATTTTGAAATTCTATACTTTAATGTTTGCTTTAAAAATTATACTAACCAAAACTTCATTACTCGTATTTAGAACACCCGTGAAACTGCGCAAGCCATCAAGGGTATGCATATCCGAAAAGCCACCAAGTACCTGAAAGATGTCACATTAAAGAAGCAATGTGTGCCATTCCGGCGTTACAATGGTGGAGTTGGGAGGTGTGCCCAGGTGAGAATTCTTAGTGGCTATTTGAAAATATAAATTGTAAGGAAAGGTGATTGGCTGGGATAATTGTGGCTAGAATCTGCCTTTGTCGAGCTTTCTTGGTTGCTGTGATGACTATCTTAGGACACCTTTGGATTAACCATGAAATAAACCATGTGCTGAGCAACCTTGATATTAGATAAAATAGATTCATCATGGTTCCAATGTTCATTTAAACCTTGGAAAGTTACTAATCACATTCCTTCATTTTCTCAGGCCAAACAGTGGGGCTGGACACAGGGCCGGTGGCCCAAAAAGAGTGCTGAATTTTTGCTGCACATGCTTAAAAATGCAGAGAGTAATGCTGAACTTAAGGTACCCAAACCATAACYCTCCTTATGTGTATATGCAAATTAAATGTTGTTCCAGATTTATATCATTGTTTTGCTCTGATTAAATCTCTCATTTAAATATTCTAAAGACTTCTCTGTCTCCAGCAGTCCAAAATTTTGTCTAAAGATTTTCATAAAAATCTACCAACASCTGTAACTTTTCTTGTGCCATGAACCTTTTGGTAGTATGATTAATTATCAAAATGATTGCCTTATTAGTGGTTATTTCAGGGTGTAGAAACTGGCTGTACATTGTCCTCTTCACCATGACCCCACCCCTGCACCCTTTTTTTTTTTTTTTTCCCACTGGAGACGGAACTCAGGAGTTCTCTTCCTCTAAGCTACATCCTTCAGTTACCACCACCATCCCTAACCTTTTTGACTGCCCAAGTTGTTATAGACTGGCCTTGAAYTTGAGAAGCTCCTGCCTCAACTGTCTCATAACTTGGGATTATAGGCATAGGGTGGTCACAAACATAGTAAACTGGGGATACAACTCAGTGGTAGAGCACTTACTCTAACACAGTAAGAACATTATGGTGATAACTCAGAAAGCAGACAGTGTCTTAAAAAAATATACCATTGAAGATCTTAATGGATTGTCTTTCAAAAATGATTTTATTCAGAAATGGATGGGGTATTGGTTGGGAATTAGTATTTCCCAWTAATGTAGTTAGTAGCGTTAAGACTGTGAAAGATGTTACCTTATTTTGTTCTCCCTCTCTTGCCAGGGTTTAGACGTAGATTCTCTGGTCATTGAACATATCCAGGTGAACAAAGCACCCAAGATGCGCCGTCGTACTTACAGAGCTCATGGTCGGATTAACCCATACATGAGTTCCCCCTGCCACATTGAGATGATCCTCACTGAAAAGGAACAAATTGTTCCTAAACCAGAAGAGGAGGTTGCACAGAAGAAAAAGGTAATTATTTAATAGCTTGATTTTGTTCGAGTACTTTAGAAAGATCTATGGTTGCTGTGATGACCATCTTAGGACACCTTTGGAATAACCATGAAAGGAAAGTATTCTGAGCAACCTTTTAACACTTTATTTTGGCTTTCATGACCCTAATTTGTTTCTTGCCTAAACAATAATAATTTTTTAGTCAGTATTATCAAATGCRTATAATTATCTGTGGTCCCACTTAGGTTTCCCTAGCCACTCACATGTCCCTGAAATCTCAAAATTTTTTTTCTTTTTCCTTTCCCAGATATCCCAGAAGAAGCTAAAGAAACAAAAACTTATGGCACGGGAATAAATTCAGCAAAAAATAAATGCAAATAAAAGAATGTTGGTTGTCTTTTATTATGTTTGTGTGGTGGTGTTGRGGATTGAACCCAGGGCCTAGCAAGTATTTKGGGTATTCTCACAAGTCATAAACTAAAATTAGAAACAGGCTTTTGTTTTTGTTTTGGGTCTTTGGCCTTGAACCCCTAGGATCAAAGTCATCCTCAAGTTCTGAAGTAGCTAGGATAGTCCAAAATATGCTGTTTTGATTATCTTGAGTTCCTTTGTATAAAATATAATATGGGGAAATTTCTGAAACTTTGTATTTTTTAAACAGCCTTGAGATTTAGCATACCATACAGTCCACCCATTTACAAGGTATTGTATTCAGTGAGGTACTCCATCACTACGATCAATTTTAGAATTTGTTCCTTGTCCCATAAAGGAATTTGTGTGTGTGTGTGCTGGGGACTTAACCCTGGCTGTGTCCCAGCCTTTTTTTATTTTGAGATAGGTTTCCTTAAGTTGCTGAGGCTGGTGTTTTGAATCCTCCTGCCTCATGCTTACCAGTTGCTGAGATTACAGGCATGCATCATCACACCCGGGCCCATCAAAGAGTCCTAACAGTAGTTAACTCATTCTCCATTTCCCCTATTGATCCCTAAGTAACTACTAATCTATTTTCTGTATAGATCTGCCTCTTAAGAACATTTCATGAAAATGGAGTGTCTGATTTGAATTTCATGGCATGTTTTTGGGGTTTGTGTGTACTATGGCATGTATTCCATATAATCAATTCCTGAACAGTGGCTGTTACAAATAGTGTTGCGAAGCCTTGTGTGCACGTTTTTGTGTAAGCATTTTTGCATTTCTTTTTTGATCATAAGATGATCCCAGTAACATGGTGAGGAACTGTCAAAAGACATTCCCACCAGCAGTGGTTCCAAATTCTCACCAGTACAAAATTACAGGTAACAATCCCTAAAAGTGATGAAATGGTACAACCATTTCTATTAACTCATTTGATACTGGGTATTGAACTGTCTGGCAAGGACTTGCTCTACCACTCAGGTACACCCCTATACCCTTAAGTTTAGCGTTTACTCCCAAATCTGCCCTTCCATTTAAGTTGCTTAAATTTGCTGAGCAAATAGCTTAAGCCAGGTGGGCCTGCAAACAGCCTATTACGTGCGAGTGGTGTAACATTTCCTGTGTGTGGCGGCCACTGATAGGCGATATTTCCAGAATCCGTATTTTGAATTCTGCATTCTGGAACAGGCCCTAACTCAAATATTCTAACGAAAGGAGCTGCATATACCGGCCGCCTACAACGCTTGGTTGTACTTCCGGGCCCGAAGGCTCAGGTCCTGGACGATAGCGCCGGTAGTCCCGGCTAGTCTCGGCGAGTCCCGCCCCGCGTCTCCATTACGTCCCGTGCGTCTTCAAGCTGACGCAGCACCCTTTGTCAGCCCCTTTGGAGGTGCCCATTGGCTAGGCGGCAGCTTGTCCCTCCCCCCGGAAGTGCGGGCTTTGCCTTGGTGACTTCGTCGTCGCGGGTGAGCCAGGCTTGGATGCGCCAGGCAGGCTGCGCTCTGTCCTCTGCGCTCCCGCGGCGGTTTCGAGTAGCTCCACAGGCTCTTCCCGGTGGCGCTCAGGAGCCTTCGGCCGGTGCGCGACTCGCCGGCTCGCCTGACCGCCCTGCCCGGAGCCTTGCGGCGGCCTGAGCTCCGGCTACACTCCGTCTGGCCTCACGGTACTCTCGCTCCCCACGCGCGCCCTTTCCACCCGCCCGCTCGGGGCCTCGGTCCTGCAGCTCCTTTTCTCCTTGCCGGTTCGTTCTCTGCCGTGCCTGGTGATGTCCCTGTCGCTTCCCTTCTGTAATCCTCGCCACTGACCCTGCTTTTCCCTTCGGTCTTTTCAGTTGTCTTTGACTCAGTCTCAGGGTTTCTTCGAACGAGGTGGCTTTCTGGCCCGCCCTACCTGACCTATTTCTGATGGAGCCTTGGCCTTTTCCTCTCTGTTCCATTGTCATCTTGGGCCGAGTCGAATGAAAGGTGATTCCTCTGCAGCAGTTATAATTCAATTTGCTCGCTTTGCTGTCTTGGAGAATAGTTCAAATGAGTCTCTCCTTGCCACCTTCTAGACTTTTCTAAAACCACATTCTCCTGTAGCGAATCATTATGAAGATTAAAAGATAAAATACAAGCAGTTTCTTTATAAAAAGAGCTAAAATTCATCAAAGCTRTAATTGTAACGTTAAGTGGTTAGTAGCATTTGTTGATTTACAACATAATGTGTACGATCTYACTTAAGACAACCTCAAAGGTAAAAATGAATCTTCATGAAGGATTGCCAGTCTCCAGTGTAACCTAGTATTGGGAGTATTACCCGTTGTTTTGAAAGGGGTCACTTGGTTTTGAAGGTTTGGTAGAAGATGGAAAACATGATCATTGTGTTTTTTCAAAGGGGAAAAGGCAGTAGTCTTGAGCTGGGAAACCGGAACTGGAAATTCTGGTCTTAACTCTGTTTACAATGAACTTTGGACAGGTCACAACTTTTGAGCTTTTTGTTTTTCTGGTCTTTTAAAAATAATWCGTAAGTTACAATATGTGCAGACAATCTGGCCTACATTGCATTCCTGTAAGAGTGGTACTATCATTGTCTGTATTTTACATATGAGAAAAAATTAAGGCACTGTTGGGTTAAATTATTTGTGCAGAAATGTCACCTAGAAAGTGGTCATGCCCCTCTCAAATCCAGGTAACTGCCAGCCAAAGTAGTACTGTAGTAGTACCTGAAAGAACGTTCAAGACCCAAACCAAATTACCTCTGAAATGTCCTCAGATCAGATTCTAAATATGTGTGGTCAAAAATAATGATCCTTTGAAAAATTCTGAGAATCAGCACTAGTTTGTCTTTTTTCTTTTGTCCCTTTTCCTCCCATACTGGGTGGGGATTAAACCCCAGRGAAGCTTTACCACTGAGTTGCATTCCCCCAGCCTTTTTACTTTTTTTTAGGTTGAGACAGGAAGGATCTTACCAAGTTGCCCTGGTTAGCCTGGAATTTCGGATCCACCTGCTTCTGCCTCCCCAGGGAGCTGGAGTTACAGCTTGTGCCACCGTGCTTGGCTAGTTTGTCATACTTTAATCAAAGAATATGTTCTTTAAACTTTTGGAACAGGTTACTTTGGTAGATTCTTAAAATGCTTTTTTTTTTTTTTTAAGTTGTAGATGGGACACATATCTCTATTTTACTTATTCACATGTGGTGCTGAGGATCGAACCCAGTGCCTCACACATGCTAGGCAGGCACTCTACCACTGARCTACAGCCCCAGCCCACTTAAAGTGTTGTTTTGACTAGGGGATTGTTTCAAAGAATCTAATGGGTCCTTTGTAAAATAGCTGTCTATATTCCTTGATGTAAATTTTCATCTCCATCTTAAGTCATTTCAAGGGCACATTCAGATTGGATTATCCATACCATTGTTTTCTACCTGTATTGTGAACATTTAAAATTGAATAGTATATTCATGGTGCTGACTTATTTGCCAGTCAACACTGCTTAATTTACAATATTTTGAAAATTAGAAATTTTAAAATACTGAATTATGCCTTGTGCACTGTTTTAAAACTGCTTACTTTTTATTTAAGGTTCTGCATCCTACTCTTAGAGGAGTAAAAATTCTTGTAAATTTAAAAGATCTTTTGATTTAATTGTGTTATGTAACTGTTATTGGGCCTTTTTTCAGAAATTCCAATAGGATTCATAATTACCAAGGAAATTSGCCATGTTAACTTTTAGAASTGGGCTGGGGATGTGGCTCAAGCGGTAATGCGCTCGCCTGGCATGCGTGCGGTCCGGGTTCGRTCCTCAGCACCACATACCAACAAAGATGTTGTGTCCCCCGAGAACTAAATAAATATTAAAAAAAAAAAAAACAACTTTTAGAAGTGAACTTTTAGAAATTGACCTATGTGATAATATTGAATAAGATTTTTTTATTTTTCAGCACACCTTAATTCATGCCCTTGAAACCAAAAAAACAGGACTGGGAGTATAGCTAAGTTGAAGATGGCTTGCCTAATGTGTTCAAGGACCTGGGTTCTGTCCCAGCACCACAAAAAGAGAAAGAAAGAAAAACAAAGCATATCTAAGAGTTGTTGCTTAGTAAAGGCCAATTGATTTGTAGCCTCAAGGTCTTCCAAAGTCATGTCTTGATTACAGAATTTGCCTTTAGTTTTGTAAGGTTTGGGTAATTGATATTGTCACTCCCTGAATATTGGGACTTGGAAGTTATTTCACACTCAGCGTCCTCTACACTTTCGTGGGATGTAAGTCATGATGTCTTTTGTTCTTCTTTATCAGTAAGTGGAAATAGCAAGGGTACACAGCCTCCTGGATTAAATGAGTTAKTGTATGTAAACTTATTTGTACCTATTGAGAGTTGATGTCTTTCTTTTATCATCRAATTTATGATTGGGGAGCAGTGATCGAAAAGGTTTGGATGCTGGCATCTCATTATTCATGTCTACATCTTATTCCTTTACCTTGCAGATGGCAGCATTTTTATTTAATAAACTTTGTTTTAAAAAATAATGGTTTTAGGGGCTGGGTTGTGGCTCAGTGGTAGTGGTAATGGTAGTGTGAGGCACTGGGTTCAATCCTTAGCACCACATATAAATAAATAAAGGTATTGTGTCCACCTACAACTAAAAAATATTAAAAAAGAAAGAAAGAAATAATGGTTTTAAACTTTTCCCCTTCACTATAAAAGAGTCCTTTGGGGCTTTGCTTCTCTCTTTTCTTTTCTTGTCTTTTGTAGTGGGATTTGAACCCAGGAGTGCTGTACCACTGAGCTATACCCCCCAGCCCTTTTTTTTTTTTTTTTTTGAGAAAGTTAAGTTACTGAGGCTGACCTTGATTTTGTGATCCTCCTGCCTCTGCCCTCCAAGTAGCTGGGATCATAGATATGTGCTACTACATCCTGCCCTTTCAGATATGTTACTGTAAGTAAAATTCTTTAGCCATTAAATCTTTGGTAACTMTTGTTTTCCTCACATATATCAACAGTTTCCGAGCTTGAGCCTGGGACAATGGTGTGCATTCCTTGTATTGTCATTCCTGTTCTTCTCTGGATCTACAAAAAATTCCTGGAGCCATACATATACCCTATGATTTCCCCCTTTGTTAGTCGCATATGGCCTAAAAAAGCTGTACAAGAATCCAATGATAAAAACAAAGGCAAAGTAGACTGCAAGGTAAGAACATTCAAATGCCTTGAACAAGGRCAGTGAAGGGGTGATACTTGAGTTAACACTTGGCTTTTGGAAGAACAAGTTTTTGGASCCAGAAGCTTCAATAATTTTTCTCGAGTAATTAACATTTAACTTAAAGGTTTAAATTAGACAGAGGATTAGTGCATTTGTCCTTTGCCTTATGGCCAAGACAAACTGAAGGTATTTGGAAATTAATATTTAGACAACTCTGTTGCCTTTAGCATTGGTGCTTGTTAAGTTCAACTTTGTATTCTGTTGTACTAATTTAGGCATCTTGCACATTTCTGGAAACAAAATTGTTTCATTATAAAGTTGTGTGTTTTTAAAGAAAACTTCTTTTTTTTAGTGTCTTTTTTTATAATAATTCTTTAAATGTTTATTTCATTTTAGGGTGCCGACAGAAATGGATTACCAACAAAAGGACCAACAGGAATCTATGATAAAAAGAAAGACTAATGCAACTTTTCCAAAGGATCGCAAATGTTTTTAAAATGGACCTGATGACACAAAGCACCTTCTTTGTAATTGTCTCTGACTTTTTTCTCTGAAACTAGAATTTTGGATAGAGAGTTTATTTATCTGATAACTTACTGGGAAATACATAGTATTTATATTTAAAATGTACTTAGTTATATTTAATGACCTCATTCCTGAGTTCCATTTTCATTATAGTAGCTTTAATTTCTATTATTGCTGTTTTAATAATATGAATAAATAGGTTTGTGCCAGTAAATACTCAGTACTTAAAGTCCTTGGGCCTCTAGCATTCATTCATCCACGTGAATTTGACTGCTCTTTGCTCTAATTCTTCAGGTCATTTTAATTTGAATGGATTAAGTTTTACTGTGAAATAGTACAGATGATAATGATGTGAAACTTAAAGATAAGATTACTGTCCAATACCATGGAGCAGTTTATCTATGAGAGTAAGTAACTACTGTTTATTGCTCTGAGAAAGATGGAAAAGAAGGATATAGKAGAAACTTTGAAAAATGAAACATCTTTTACATAAATGTCTAATGTATTATAAAATTATAATGCTGTTGCATTCCTTCCATTCCTACAAATGCATTAAACATTCAGTTTAATTTGTGGTTCTTTGTTCTCTTAAAAAGTTTTTATTAAATGTTTGAAAGGGAAATTATTTACCATATCATAAGACAATTTTAATACTGAGATGGCATTTAGATAGTGATGGGAAACCAGTTACCTACTGTTGCACAAGGCAGGCCATCATTGAGTAGTTTCAATAACAGTGACTTGTCTGGGCAGTTCTTGGCTGGTCTGAGCTCTCTGGGCTTACTGTTTCATCCYGGGCTTTTTTAGTTCAGTTTAGGGATCTGTAAATATTTAAAGATCATGAGGYATATTATATTTATTTCGTTGAAAACGGAAGAATTAAAAGGCACTCTTGCCCTTGGGTCCTCAGTGAAGTCCTGGGTCTTAACCAAGGTTATATTAAGCTATGTGCCTATTAACCTATGGAAACACCCTGGACTTCATTTGATATAAATCAGCAGGTCTCAACTTTTCTGCCCCAACCAACCAGACACCTGCCTGTAATCCCAGCAGTTTGGGAGACTGAGACRGGTCAATTTTATGTTTAAGGCCACTCTTGGCAACTTAGCAAGACCCTGTCTTAAAAGAAAAAATAACAAAGATTCAGTGATAAAGCACCTCTGAGTTCATTTCCCAGTATTGCAAAGGAAAAAACTCTCATTTATTACCAATATTTCATAAAAGACATTTTAATAAAAAAAAAAGAATAAGACAATATAAGAATATAAGATAATAGTATTTTATTTTGAAACAGTCTCACTGTTTCTTAGAGCCTCCTGAGCCACTGGGATTACAGGTGTGTGCCACTGTGCTGGACCATTTTTCTTCACTTTTATGGCTGATTGAGAAATGCTTTCTTCAACTGTCCTTGTACTAGGTTTGACAGCTGCTGCCCAGTATCACACCAGTTCACCCTTCCCCAAAGTATCAGTCCTGTCGGACAACTTATACCTGAGGGCTGCYGTCCTACTAAGAGCTACCATTTATTAAACACATTGTGCCTGGCACTGTGTAAGGGTATATCACATACATGAAGGTATTGGATATTTGTGAAACTCTGAAGTGGTCAAAAAAACAGGATCATAGAGTTTAGATATATTAAGTGGCAAGTCTATGTTTTTAAGATTTTGTTTTGTTTTTCCCCCCAAAAAAACGGTCCTGAACTCCTGGGCTTGAGTGATCTCTGGATCTCCTACCAGGCAGCAGGGACTACAGGCATGTACTGCCATGCCTGATTAAGGTCTTCTCCTTAACTTACACTAAGGAGCCGTCACAGCTTGTAATACATAATTGCTAGTAATACCTAATGGGAATAATTGAGCAAAAATGGAGAGCATGAGTTTGAACTGATCAGTATTTGTGAGCTTGTTTTATTTATTTATTTTATTTTATTTTTTATTTTTTAAATGTATAGACCTTTATTTTATCCATTTACTTATATGTGGTGCTGAGAATTGAACCCAGTGCCTCACACATGCTAGAAAAGCACTCTACCACTGAGCCATAGCCTCAGCCCCTGTGAGCTTGTTTTAAAGTTCTAATTTTGCTTACCTTGCAGCATGATGCTTTAGTTTACCTACTTTTCAATAATTTACTTTTGTCCTGGTAAATTCTAGCTAAAATTTTTTGTCTCTTTGTGAGACAAACTCATTTTCTTACATAATTATTCAASATTCACCTGAAAGACTCCTGGGTTTTGTCACCTTTTTTTCATTACTTAGCTAGCTACCTTCCYAGGAAACCTGGGTAAGTCAGCATTTTCTCAAAATTACTGTCCACTGGCTTGTTGCCCTCTTAGGTGGATTCTATTGAAAGGAACTTTTAACCACTGATGTCAAGTCTCCTGAACCCCATAAAGTTAAACGTCTTTTGAGTTTACTCAAATCACAGTGGAAGTGGGGGAGGGAAGGTTCTTTATGATTTCCCCAGGGAGCTTCTGGTTTGTTCCATCCTCAAAGCTATTAATTGTTGATGTGGACTTCTGCTTTAAGGAAGAAGCACAAACTACAGGCAGACATTCTTATGAAGTTAACACAAGTAACAAGAAGAGAAAGAAGATGGCCCAAAGTTAGACAAGAGATAGGTGGAGTCTCAGGAAGAAAGAAAAAGACCTGGAACTTTTGTTGGATAAACAAAACCTCTGTGGTGTGTTTGTAACAGATCAGTAAGAACAAAAACATGAAGAATTTAAATTTCATAGATTCGGGCTGGGGATGTGGCTCAAGCGGTAGCGCGCTCGCCTGGCATGCGTGCGGCCCGGGTTCGATCCTCAGCACCACATACCAACAAAGATGTTGTGTCCGCCAAGAACTAAAAAATAAAAAAAAAAAAAAATTCTCTCTCTCTCTCTCTCTCTCTCCTCTCTCACTCTCTCTTAAAAATAAAATAAATAAATTTCATAGATTCAAAGACTTATACAATAGGCCTACAAATGATTGATGGCTAGACCATTTGGCCAAAGAACAACATTCTGAACCCCAAGTACAGAATGATTTTCATGTGCGTAGGCTGTGTCTCGTCCAGCGAGGAGGTCTACGGAACAGGGTAGAGGAGAGTGTGGCTGCAGAGTTGCTAAACAAGACTTCTGGAGACCAAGCAGGAAGCCGGTCTCATTTTATTGCACAGTTACCATGTATATATACTCAGGCAGTAGCTAAGCAGATTATAGGCAGCCACCAATGCAGTTTCTGCTAACTGTCCTTGCAGTGTCCAATCAAGGAGTGGGCTTTGGAGCAAGCACAGGAACTTGCTCCAAAGGCTTCACGCCCAGGGCTGTGCCTACAGGGATGCAGTTTGCCCCACACAAGCCTAGCAAGGCTGAGTGTTTCGCCACTCATGATGCCCATAACATGCCATGTATGCAGTACTCCATGCACTTGTCCCCACATTCATGGAAATTTACTTTCAAAGAAGATTGAGAACTTGCACATTTCTTTCCAGAAAAAGAATTATGGTAATCAGGGCCCAACCTCGGCATGTCCTGGTTTTCTCTTTGAGGAAGGGTGTATCCGTGCCCTGCCTTTGGATGTGTACATTTTTACTATGCGTAAATAAATCTTTGCTTGTACCTTGCCTCCTGAAATCTCAGTGTTGAAAGTCAAGAACCCACCCAGGCCAAGCTGAGGTTCCATTCTCTTCAGAGAAACCTTGTTAATTGAAAGGGTAAGAAATTTCAGATTTTTCAAGTGAAGGGAGAGGTTGGAATTGAGAGGGTCAAGAATTGCAGATGGGAGGACTGGGGTTCTGGCTCAGTGGTAGAGTGGTTGCCTAACATGCGAGGCCCTGGGTTCAATCCTCAGCACCATGTAAAAATAAAGGTATTGTGTCCAACTACAACTAAAAAATAAATGTTGAAAAAAAAAAAAACTGCAGATGAACTGTGAAGGGCCAATGTGTGGTAAAGTATTCACAAAATATACCAAAGACTCCCAAGAGTTGAGCTTGTCTGGCCCTTAGGGCACATCTAACCCAATCCTCTCATTTTCACCAAGGACAAAAGAGGTGGCTCAGGTGCTGGGATAGGGCAAGAGTGGAGTCTCCTGCAGGACTGCAGGGTACAGTTGTGCCAAGTGTGCACTGGGCAATTTCAGAAGGCATATTGACAACCATGTAAATGATTCCCTTAGGTCGGTGCATTACGTATACAACCATACACGGGGTTCTGCTTCTGACTTGGCAATTTGTCAGATGCTATTTCATATTTCACTGGTGTATTTGTTTTTCTACTGCTATATTACAAATTACCACAAACTTAGGGGCTTAAAACAACATGAATGTATTATCTCACAGGTTTTCTGGGTCAGATGTCTTCATGGCATAACTGGTTTCTTTGCTTAGGGTTTCGCCAGACCAAAATCAGGATGTTGGCCAGGTCTGTGGTTCTCAGGAAGGCCCATGGTTCTCTTCCAAACTTGCTGCTTGTGGGACTGCAGTCCCAGGTTTCCTTCCAGGTAGCTGGGGCCTCAGCTCTTGGAGGCCACTCCCAGTTCCGTTGCACAGAGTCCCACAGTGCACTCACCACACTGGGGTTCACTTTCTTCCTGCCCTTCTGATCCTCTGGGACCAGTCAGGAAATCTGCATTTGACGGGCTCCTATGACTAGGTCAGGCCTGCATATGTAAGGTCAACTAATTTGAAATCAATCTTCAAAATTCTTTCACAGCAGCACCAAACTACTATTTAGTTGATGTTTGGGAGATGATGCATGGTTTCTACCAGGGACCAGAAATCTAGGGAAGCTTCTTAGAAGTCTGCTTGCCTGACTGGGGTTGTAGCTCAGAGGTGGAGCGCTTCCCTAGCATGTGTGAAGTACTGGTTTCCATCCTCAGCACCACATAAGTAAAATAAAGGTATTGTGTCCACCTATAACTAAAAAAAAAAAAAAAAAAACCTAGAAAGTCTGCTTACCACTTTCCTAATGATTCTAATCCTTTAATTACCAGATGTGCTGGAGAAATAAAACCCCAAAGAAAAACTCAGACTTTCTCATATGATAGGTTGCTTCTACCACACACTAAGCATGTAATTCTGCAGCAGTAGACACCAGCTGGGTGTCCTCTAATTCAATCTACCTGGAGATGGCTTTGGTTCCTGCAGGTTGGGGGCTCAGTTCCCCCAACTACCCCCTCTTGAGATGCCAGTTACAAGCCCCAAGTTGTTTTACCTGTGCTTCTGATCAATTGGCTATAAATCAGGTTCTCACTCACCCCTTGCCCAAGTGGCTGGAAGAACTCAGGGAAACACTTATACTGGATTATTATAAAGGGTTATAATTGAAAGGGGATATATAATGGATATAGATGAAGAAGTGA